GCATTGATTTTAGTTCACAGACTCAAGCCTGAGGCCCATTTATTGCAATACATACCAACGCGTTGAGGGTAGCAGTTAGAAACTACTCCCCCGAACTGAGCTCGCAGGCTCCTTTTATTCCTACAAACCGCAAACATAGTACAAGTTTTACGTCCTTTACAAAAATAAGAGAGTAGGGGTCTGCTCACCTTTCCGGCATCTTCCCTATTATTTTTCCGAGAATTGGGTGCATATTGGGGTGGAGGGCTTCTTGGTGGTTTCCGATATGGGCAGTACTTGGCACCAGTTGGGGTGTATTCTCGGCAGGGTGCATGTCAGTAGGGCCGGGGGGTGGGTGGGTCACAGAGCACCCAAAAGAGAGACATGATTGGCTAATTTGCATTTAGCTAGAATTACGGGGGGGAGGGGGGTTACAAAGCACCCAAAGGAGAAGCTGCATTTAGCTAGAATTACTTATTGCTTCACACAAGCGGTTATTATATTTCAACAGCCAGGAACATATTTCATTAGTGCTGCTGTTGGGGCTTTTTATTCTTTCCTTCCTTGGCCCCCCTCCCTCCTCTGGTCATGACCCTTGACCGAGACTGGCAGGAGGCCGTGACACTTAGTCTGGTTCAGGCTTGTGGCCTGTATGGGCCTGTATGACGATTCTTTGCGATGTTCTGATTGGTGCAAGGGAGACCAGACAGGCCTATTCCCCCACACCTTCTAGACTACTGCAAAATTGGCCAGTAAACTGATGAAAATAGCAAATAATCCTGAAAGTAAACATTTTATATTCAGGGCCGGCTCCAGGCACCAGCCTAGCAAGCAGGCGCCTGGGGTGGCCAATGAAGAGGGGGGCGGCACGTCCGGCCCTTGGGCGGCAATTCGGCGGCGGGGCCGTCACTCCCTCTGGGAGCGAAGGACCTGCTACCGAATTGCCGCCGTAGAATGAAGCGGCGGAAGAGCTTCCGCTGATCGCAATCCCGATCACGGCTTTTTTTTTGCTGCTTGGGGCGGCAAAAATGCTAGAGCCGGCCCTGTTTATATTTATTCAACTGCTACACTAAAGTCACATGTAAACATTGGGCCCTAAGGCTGTGTCTATCCATGTAGCAAAATTGTTATGGCAAAAATGTAACATTTTCTTTACATAAAAATCAGTTAATAATTATTAATTGTTATTTGCATTACAGTAGCACCCAGAGACTCCTTGCAAGATCAGGGCTCCATTGTGCTAAATGCTGTACTGACAGTCCTTGCACCAAATAATTTACAATCTAAATATTCTCCGCCTGCTCCCCAAGAAATGGTCTGCTCCAAATGTATTAGATCCAGGTGAAACTCTGTGATTTTGATTTGCATTAGTCCATGTCATTATTTTCTGCAGTTCTGATCTTTGCAGTTCCAAATGAATCTGAGACTCAAGTAAAAACACCTGAATTTCACCTGGCTTTGCATTGAAAAAATTGCTTGTTTTTCATGCAAATCCGTGGATTAGTACCAGGGTTGCTCTGTCTCTGATGCAAACATTTTGCACAACTCTACTTGTTGATGATAAACTGCAAATGGGGAGAAAAATGTGTGTGTGTGGGGGGAGTGTATTTAAATAAGTGTTTAGATTTATTTAGTAATACTGAGACTTTCTAGCGGCTGTAGCAGATAATCAGACTACTTGGCCAGAAATTAGATGTGTCCTTCAATTTATAAAGTGTTTGAGATGCATTTTATTGAGATGGGAGCTGACTTGTGCGGCGAAGTTGAGAGCCAAAGAAGATAAACTTCCCTGAAGGGGAGGTCAAGTTTGGCTTCTTCCCGAGAGCGGATTGAGTCGCCACATTGAGATGTGGGCCCAACTTCCCCCGAATGTGCTCGGTGTAGGGATCTGGTCCACGTCTTCAGATCCGTGAGTAACAAACCCATTGGGAAAAGGAGCGTGTGCGCCCCTCATCTTGCTGCACAGGGTCTAGCATAATGCCAGGACTCCATAAATACATAGGTGGCAGGTTTGTATAATTTTTGGTGGTGCCCAAAATGGTGCCTCCCCCCGCCCTGTAAGCCGATATATATATTTTATTAAATAGTGTAAACATAGATTGGAAGCCATAAGCATTTAAGTTTCTCTTTATTGCACAATATCACTATCAGAAAAATCCATTGTTGATTATTAGTGGTCCTACAAATCAAGAATTTGTTGCTGGGATAAAATGAAGCTACAACGCGTCGACACCACAAGATTACAAGGGTAAATTAAAAGTGGAAAGTCAGAAGCAGCACTTTCCTGCTTCAATATACAGTATTATGTTTTGTTGCACCTGTTGTGACGAAGTGGGAATGTTCTTAATGTTTTCGCTGAATACTGTGTGTGTGCCTCAGTTTCCCCTGCAAGGTACCAACTGAAGGTGTTGGGGACAAAGAGATCAGGTGGCCTCCTTGTCCGGAAGAGACACAAAGGCCAGAGAAGGGAGTGTCAGTTTGGAGCTGGCTGGGGAAATGGGGAGAGGCCCAGAACTTGGGTCTGGGCTCCCCACCCCCCAAGATGGACCTGACTGAGGGGGTCCTGTTTTCTGTACCTACAAGCTCTGTTTTAGACTGTGTTCCTGTCGTCTAATAAACCTTCTGTTTTACTGGCTGGCTGAGAGTCACGTCTGACTGTAGAGTTGGGGTGCAGGGACCTCTGGCTGCCCCAGGACCCCGCCTGGGCGGACTCACTGCGGAAAGTGCACGATGTGGAAGGGCATGCTGAATGCTCCGAGGTCAGACCCAGGAAGGTGTAAGCTTCTTGCCCTGGAGACAGTATGCTCAGAGAGAGGAGGCTCCCCCAGAGTCCTGACTGGCTTTGAAGGAGTGGTTCCAGAGCATCCCAGTATCTCCTTCCACACCATGCGCTTCCCGGAAGTCCGCACAGGCACTAACACTCCCTCCTCTGGCCTTTGTCTCTTTTCCAGGCATTAGGAGGCAACCTGATCTCTTTGTTCTCCAACACCTTCAGTTGGCACCTTGCAGGAGAGCGGCCCAGGCCATCAGTTGCCCGGAGACAGGGTTTCGGCCATTCTCTGTGCAGACAGCATCACACTGGCCCTCTAGGGCTCTACAACAATCACACCCCTTATCCCACCGTCTAGATTCTTAAGAAATGCATAGGGGAAACTGAGGCACCCACACAGTATTCAGAGAAAACATTAAGAACATTCCCACTTTGTAACACCTGTATACGACTAGTTATATACTTTAAAGGGTGTAAAATAATCAAGTATTGTGCTAAACACAATGATACTCTAAACTGATCACCAAATTTATGTTGCGTGTTTTTCCCCTCAGGTGAGGGCTCTGGGGTGGGGCTGGGAATGAGGGGTTCACAGTGCTCAGGGCTGGGGCTCAGGGCTGGGGGCGCAGGCTCTGGGGTGGGGCAGGGCTGGGGATAAGGAATTAGGGTGCAGACAGGCTGCCCCAGGGCTAGGGCCAGAGAGGACTCCCTCCCACCCCCACACTGGCAGCAGCAAGCTCCAGGGGAGGGACCCTTCCTCTTCCCCCTTCCCCCTGCAGCACACTCACTCTGCACCACGGTCACTGCACATGCTTCTAGGGCCTCTCTCAAGTCCAGAAAGCCCACTTGCCTCCCCTATGGTGGGTATTGGGGGGGGGGGTGTTCACATCACATGTGGCCTCCCCTGCTGCTGCCCCTCACCATAGCCTCACTGGGGATGGGGGATGGGGTTGCCCCTTGCCCAGCATGGGGCAGGAGTGGGGACTGCAGGGTGGTGGCTGGGGGGGTGGGGGCAGGGTGTCACAAAATTCACCCAAGCCCCAGCTGCTCAGGTCTAGGAAGCCCCCCTCCCCAGTGGCGTAGCCAGGTTCTAACATCAGGGGGAGCGAACACATAAAAAAGGTGCCACCCGACATAGCAAATTACTAATCAGGTAGTAGGGTTTACAATGTTAACAAGAGATTATGCTATTACCATTATCCAGTCAACTTGCTCACTACTATTTTGAATTAGTGATAATTCACAGAGAGAGAGAGAGAAGAAAGCTGAATTTAGAGAACAATTATTAACCAGATTCCTGGTTATTCACCAGCCACTTTGCTCCAGTCCATAGCACAAAGCACCATAAACCCAGTAGAATCTGGCCAAGAGACTATTCACCTCAAATTGGCATCTGCTACACTCCCCCCCCCCCATTCCCAGTCACCACTATTCAGGAGATAGCGAAGTGAAAAGGTGGCATGACTGAAGCATTTAGCAGGCAACTGAAAACTAGTCTAGAGTCTGTACAGTCCCTGAGAACACTGCTTCATTCTGAGCACTGGGGCTGCAGCTAGTCAGCAGTGAGACTGAGGAGACATAACTGGCACCTTAAAGCACATTTACCCCTCCTTCCTTCACAAGCTGCACTAAGCACAGTTTCACAGCCCTGGGGTGTGTGTGTGGGGGGGCAATAACCCAAAGTCGCTCCTTTGCCTCCTGGTCCTGCCGCTCTCTCAGCCCCCTCTGCTGAAGAGAGACCAGGAGAAAAAAATATCCCCCCTTCCCTTTTTCTTCCTTCTCCACCGGCACCAGCTGGGCTTCAGAGCCCCCTTCCCTGCCACGCGGCTGCCTCGCTCTGCATGGGCCGCTGCTCCTCACCCCTTCCCCTCCCTTAGGGAGCTGGGCAGCTGCGGGGGGGGGGGGGGGGGGGGGGGGAGAGCCTCCTCCCCGGGGGAGCAGCCAGGCAACCAGCCGACGCTGCCTGGGGCCCCGGAGCGAGAGAGAGCAAGGCTGGGGATGGGGCAGGGCGGTGTGGAGCCCAGAGCCAGCCGGCGGCTGCACTCAAAACCCGGCTCCGGACTTTGAGTCCAGAGCCCAGTGCTGGCTGCCTGGAAAGGCGCAGCTTTTCGAAAATGTGCTCAGAGGGGAGCAGCCGCTCTCCCCCCTGCTCCTCCCCAGCTACTCTACTGGGCGGGGGGATGCTCCGGGGCGGGGAGGTGAGGATGGCGGCAGGGGCCGGTGCCCGCTCCAGGCGAGAAAACCAGCTCCAGATATTGGTGGAGCACAGCCCCCAGCCCTGAATATTCCTGGTGCTCGGCACCACGAGCCCATATAACCTGCCGCCTATAGAGCTTGGCGCAGACTGAGGGTCCGAGCTGGGCGTCTTGGGACAGTAACTTGAGCACATTAGGACCTGGAGGGAGCGGGGCGCTCACTACTCTGTGAGCTGCTGCGAGCGAAGAGTCAAGGGCAAAGAAACGTGGCTGTCGAAGGGGTGGGTGGGGAAGTGTCCCGCAGCCAGAGTTGGATCCAGGAGGGAGGGGAGCCCCGGGACTGCTGCCAGGGCTTGCTACGGAGCCGGGCTGCGCTGGGTGGCAGCGCCTCTGTCAATCAGCCTGACTCCACTCCCGCACGCCTGTGTTCTCCCGTGCTGCGCTCCAGCTGCCTCCTTGTGTCTCTGCTTCGCTGCGCTCACAGAGCGGCCGCCGCTGCTGCTGGGTGCATGCACCAGGGGACCGGAGCGGGGCTGACGCGTCCCCGCCGCGTTCCGGGCGGCACCGGGCTGCCCTCAGTTTGTGCTGGGTAGCGGCGGGGAACTTTAATGCTGGCTCCAAGTGTTGGGCTCGGTCTGCGGTTCAGCTGCAATGGATCCTCCAGCAGGGATCGCCTGTCTGCTGCTCTGCTGTGCGCTCTTCCTGCCCGGGAGCGCCCTGCAGAGCTCCAGGGAGAGAGGTAGGTCCTGGGGGGGAGGTGGCTCCATCCCTCAGCCCCCCACCCCCAGGGCCGTCCCTAGCTATTTGGGTGCCCTACGCAGCCCCCCCAGGCGTCCCCCCTGCCCCAGACTCTGGGAGGCAGGAGCTGTGGGGGGCACTTTTGGGGCTCCACAGTGGCCTGGGGTATTAGGGTGGGGGCGGGAGCAGCCCGCTCCGCTTCCCTTGCCCCGGCCCCAGCCGTGTCACTCGGGGAGAGGGGGTTTGGGGGGGAACCTTTCCTTAACTCCCCCCCCCCCCAGCGACTGGTGGGGGCCGGGGCAAGGGAAGCGGAGCAGGCTGGGACTGCCTTGCTCTGCCGCCGGTGAGTGTGGGGTGCGATCTTTTCCCCAACCTCCCCGCACTCTCCGGCGGCAGGAAGCGGAGCGCCACGGCTGGGACCTGGCGGAGTGGAGCGGGCTGGGGCCGGGTTGCTCCACTTTCCGCCACTGCCGGTGAGTGCGGGGTCACTGGGGGAAGAGGTGGAATGGGGGTGGGCCGGGGGAAGGTCAGAGGTGGGGCGGAGGGAGTTGTCCCCCACCAAGGATGGCCCTGCCCACCCCCTGCTGCCTCTTGGCCTAGCCCCCGGTCCCCTGCAGCCTCCCCCTCTGAAGTCCCAGCTAGCTCACCCTGGGGCTTTCAACTCCCCTTCAACTTCTTCTGCTAACACTTTTTGCGAGATTTGCAGTTGCTAACCTCTTCTGTCAGCAGCAGAAAAGGGGCAGATGGGTCTGCCTCCTTTGGGGAAGGGGCTTCTGGCATCTCGAGGAATGACACTTCTGTGCCAGTGTCTCTGTAGTCCCATAGCCACCCTCTGGCAGCCCCAGTGGGAGGATAAGCCTCTGGAAAGAAAGGAGGATGCGGGAGATTGGTTTAAATCCCAGATCCCATGAGAGACAGGGTGGGAAGTGGGAACCTCGAATGAACTCTGGTTTCAATGTAACACATCTGACAGATCAGAGGTTAGTGTGTCAGATCCTGGAATTCCATGTGTAGAATAAAACACATGGTAGCAGCTTTTTTTCTTCAAACAATATGAATTTAAAAGCTCTGAAAGTCACCGAGACATTCCTGCTGGTTCCAGCCCAAGTTACTAGCTGTATATTGTGTCTGCTAATCACATGCTTTCAACTTGTTTAGGATTTGATCAACTTCTCCCACAGTTGTTTTTTTGGGGAAATTTATTTTTGTTTTAAATTTATGACCTGCAAATGCTGATATTATAAACATTTCCTTCCCCTAACCTCTGTGTGTAGGCCTGGTCAGAGGTCAGTTTAATAGACACTGAAGCATTCTCAAGGATTGTGCCAGCAGTCCCCAGAAATTCAACATCCTAGGTGATTAATGACAACAGTCTGAATAGCTCAGCTGTCTCAACTGACTTCATTTCATAAAACAT